ACAGCCGACTTTGTGCCGTACGTCTGAATGGTTCAGTACGCGTCAACAGCTACAGAACGAAGCGTCGATGCCTATTCGTCGTATCCGCGTATGCACCGGCAGATGGCAGTTCGCCAGAAATGAAGAATGAATTCTACAAGGACCTCTCTCAACTGCTCCGAAGTGCTCGGTCAGTGGACATCGTGGTGGTCGCTGGAGACTTCAATGCTCAAGTGGGGTCGCTGGACGAATCAGATAGGCTATTTCGAGGTTCACATGCAATCCCAGCCAACATGACTGATAACGGAGAACGCCTGCTTCAACTTTGTGCTGACCACGGACTGTTTCTGTCATGCACGAACTTCTCGCACAAAAAACGGCACCGCCTTACAGGGAGACCGCCAAGATACAATGTGTGCAATCGTTGCAAATCGGCCTTCGAAGCGGAACTATCAGATCGTCTCTCAGCAAAACCATCAGCCGGAGGACTCAGTGAGCACTGGACGGCAATCAAGGAAGCNCCGGCAAACAACAAACTTAACCGAAATTCAAAGGCCTTGCGTGACAGGTCTGTAGAATCTCCCACACGGATGCTTCGTTCACGCTCTCGCGTTGGATTTACGCTCCATCGCCTTGTGGATCAGACTTTTGAGTTGAAAGCTCCGGCTAGGGAAACCGCGAATTATGCCGTGCCCTAACGTCTTAGGTACCCATTTGGAGAACCGTCTTTCTCATCTGTCTGTTTCCTCTTCTCCCTCCCAAACCTTAGAAATGCATCCTGTTTACACCACCCATGGGATATCACTCACTGTTTAACTAATGAGGTCAACCACTCAGAGGCTATCCGATTTTTGAAACCAAAATCCCTGTTCCACTTAGCGGCATTTAATGTCCACACACTCTACCAGATCGGTCAACAAGCCGCCTTAGATAGAAACCTTCCATTCAGATGTGTGCTGTGTCTCCGAAACACGCATACAACACGCTACTTCCATTATCTCCCTGCGTTCTCCATATCCAACCTCACCCTTCGTTTGTCAGGCGATTCGTCATCCGAAGCTCGCGGTGTTGCTGGTGCTGGGATTGCGCTGAGTGACAAGGCCGAGTGTTCACTTCTCGATTGGATCTCGGTTAACAGCCGACTTTGCGCTGTACGTCTGGATGGTTCAGTATGGGTCAACAGCTGTTACGTTTTAATCTGATCGGATCAAATGAGTAAATGGGTAGTGTGGGGGTATACAAGTCACTATTATGGTCTTATCAAAGATGACGCGTTTTCCTGTTTTAAAAACACTCGGCTCTCCACATTGGCTTTTTGAAATCAAAGACGGTCGGAAGTTCTGAAATGTGTCTTACAGGTGAGACATGACGGTTCGAGCAGCAGCGAAAGTAATCAGTTTCTCCCTATTCTTGAGATGAGAACACGGTTAGTACCTTCAAGCGAACCACCACTGAACGATCGGGAGTTGGGGTATTTTGGCTCTGCGCCCGTGACGTGTAATACCCAGAAGGGATTTGTCAGACACACGAGCTCCCTTCTGCAGACTGTCATTGGGGCCTGCTGTAGGTCGGCAAACGGCCTCCCACCTGGCAAGATTGACTGCATGACACGGCATGTGAATGTCTGCATGTTGTTACATTTGTGGTCTTGTTCCTCACGCTTTGTCTGATCGGATTTGAATTCAAAAATACCTTGGCGCCTCGGTCAGCGAGCAAGCGCAGTTACCATACCGATCTAGAGGATCGACTACGGTTGCCTCAGATTAGCCATCGATTATTTCACACACACACACACACACACACACACACACACACAGTTCTGAATTATCTGTTCCTGTGTGTAACCAACAGCGATCAAATGCAAAAATCTTCAGTGTTTGCATATTGTTCACACCTGTCTTCTCGAGCCGGTAAAAGATGAGCAAGATAACAATAGCGACATAACGAAGTGTTGACCGAAACCCCAGTGCCCAGTCTATGATTTCATGCACTATAGCATCCGGCCTCGGTAGTTAGTCTCCCCGACATCTGCTTCGGTGAATCCCATGTTGAATACGATCCAGTCCCAACCACGATGCTTAACTTTCCCGCTTTCCATCCACCGTGATTTCGGTGGGATGACAGGGATCTGGATTACCCATCCATCCATCTCTCGCTGGGAACCAGCACGAGTGTAAATGGCACTGTCATCAAAATTAACCGGATTCGACGTTCCCGCCGAGTTACTCCACAGTTTAGCAAACGCATATGGGTTTTAATTCTTACTTTGAGAATCACTGCCTTGATAGCCTGAAATCCTGTCGAACGGTGTTTCCGATCCACACCCGCTTATAGGCGGGTTTACCCGGCAGACACAACGCTTCTGTAAGCTCTGATGAGTAGTTTCAGACGATCTTAGTACATCGCTTTGAGGCCTTACGATTTCAGCTCTGGATGAACCAGATAGAAGACACCAGACCCGCAATCGGTTACCATAGGGACAGATGACTGACTGGATCATCGTCGCTTTTTAATCTCATCCGGCGCTTATCTGCTTGTTTGTGTGTTACCGGAACACGGAGGCATCCCAAGCATACACCAATATCCTCTCTGATCACGTCATCCAAACGAAACGAAACTGCTTTGCGTTTCCGCTCTCACTAGTTTTCCTCGCATGCACGGACACATACGGGGTGCACGCACGCACGCACACTACGCGCATAAATTATTCCGGCCAGTTGATTGAGCATAATGCAATCGTGTGCGCTATAGGCCGCTTCGGCCTGATTAACGTACGTGGTCGACGCCCTTAGTCGGATCCGAGACTAGGCGACCACGATTGTGCGCGCGTACACACCTCTGCACTGGTCCTGCCCCCATGCGCAGTCTGTAGTTTGTTGATTGGTTGGTTATTTGATCAGCTGACTGGCCGGCTGAATGACAGACCGGGTGGCTTATGCGTTGCCTGAGTTGTGTTCGTTTGAAGCACTTCTTTTGCTCTTTGCTGCACCACTCTGGTCTTCTCTCGGGCGGTGTGTGTGCGTGTGTGAGAGAGTGAGAAGCCAATAGGGACGGGGACAGGGAGGGAAGGGATGGCACCGTAGTAACAAAATGGACAGCGTAACCTCCATTTGTGTTCTCTCTGTGATTTGATGATGGGCCCTTTCTGTGACCACTTTTAATACTATAGCGTTCCCCATCCGTCGCGCACGTGTTGGACGTGTTATCGTAGACGTTGTCCCAGGGTGTTGCGTACTACGCAATGGGACAAAATCCAATGAACGGAAAGTTTATGCCTATTGGTATGCCGTTTAGCTTTATTCAATACGTCAAGCTGCATCACGATGCCACACAGTTGCTCGCCACGCTTCGTACACGAAAGGCGTTTCAATCACTGCTATTTATGCATCATGAAATCCTCGAGGACACTAAAGCGAGCGGTAATGAAACAGTACCATACAATGAGCGGGGTTCTGTTCCCACCCGAGATGAGTCGTCCATACAGTTTGGGGATTCAGTGATGCCGAGTGTAAATGCCGAGTCTGTAAATTACACCTT